TTTTGGAAAATGGAACAAAGGTGTTATTTGACTCCAGCTAGAATAGCTAAGATATATAAAACAAAAGAGAAAGAATGCTGGAAGTGCAAACAGAACGTTGGTTCTTGGTTCCATACATGGTGCAAATGTTCAAAAATAAAGAATTATTGGAAAAAAATACATATTAATATACAAAATATGTTGAATATCAAGTTTGAACTATGTCCGGAATTTTATTTGTTAAATATGTTAAATAGTTTGGATCAGGATCATTAAATAGTACACTGACAGCGCTCTAGAAATAAACTTTAATAATAATAAATAATAATAATCAGGCAACTGAGAGAAACTATTGGAGAATCCTCCTCTATATGGTAACAGCAGCCAGAATATTAGTCACACAAAAAATGGAAAAAACAAGACATACCTACTTTAGACGAATGGTTCTTAAAACTAGCAGAAATGAAAGAAATGGACCAATTAACAAATATACTTAACAATAAAGACTCGGAGTTAGGGGGGAAGCAGACGAGGGCGTCCAGGACGCCCTGCGCCGGCATGCCGCGGGGCCGCAGCCTCTGCATCTCGGCGCACCGGCGGCGTCCCTGGAAGGAGCGCTAAATCAGCGCTCCTTCCTCAAGACAGCGAAAGTGCGCCCTAAAAGCGGCGGGCGCACTTTCGCTGTCTTATCCTCCGCAGCGCGTCCGGTCGCTGCGGAGGGAGGTTGCCCCGGAAGCGCCGGACGTGCGGAGGGCCGGCAGCTTCCGGGGCGACCTCAGGAAGAGGAAGGGGCGCCGAACGTGCGGCTGCCCCTCCTCTTCCGGGCCCGGAAGACGACCCAATTAGTCGTCTGCCGAGGCCCTAAGTTGATGAAGAATGGGCTGCAATAGAGAAATATATTAAAAATAACTGGATGTAAATAAGCTAAGATATTAAGAAGAAAGATAACATATATGATTTATTAGTAAGAATTGTAAGAAAAATAAATTTAAGATAGTAACTTAAGAACAATTGAATATACATAAGTACTCATTGTGGAAGAACTAGAGGAAGGTT